CCGTCAAAAGATTGTGTTCTAAACTGGCCCGTTTTACAGCGAATAAACTTTTTATAGAGACTGTCGCGCGACAACAACCTTAAGAAAATTTTCCCTGGCGATATTGCCTTTTTTGTACAGAAAATTCAGATAAGCATGATCGAACATTCTGAAAAAATTCCGTAATAGTTCTATAAAATTTTCCTTAATGACGTTACATTGCGAAATCACGGAAAAGATAGGTGATTTTCATTGAATATTTCCTTCAGTATCGAGAGCAGGTTGCTCAATAATAGAATATTTATATTTATTCGATGCTTCATGGCAGCTTCGCAGATCAAGCAATATTTGGATATGGCACGAGCATTCCACCAAATAATAATGAATACGAGGCGAATGACCCTTCCAAAAAGGTGATTTTCTGTATGCATGGAAAACTCTCAGGATGTTGTACAGTTGTTAAAGGAACAGGAACAGACGAGGAGATAATGGATACTGCTTATCAGCAGGATATCAGTCAATGTAAGTACGAAAACATGATTTTTTCCGGAAAATAGAAATTAAAAAATTTTAAACTGAGTGTTACCTTCGGAGATGTGATATGCCGTCATCTTTTTCATTTCAATTGAAAAGAGACATTATAGAAAAATTACGTGAGGCTTCCGTAATTCTTGGACAAAATTCCATTCCGTTATAAATTACGAAATCAAACTCAATTTTTACGGGACTGATACGTGATTTTTCGGGAATTTCACGTAAAAATTACGCAAAACCTTCGTGTAATTTCAGGTTCGTTCCTTCGGTTTTCATGAAAAGGCCTTTAGGCAGTCCTTTTTTTCCTAATTTTGTCTACAAAACGCCAATATCTTTGTTAATGTTTATTTATTTTCGCTTTTTTCCGTCAAAAACAGCGTTTAGACGAGAAAAATTGCCAATCAAATAATTGAACTAAATGGAATTGAAAAAAAATATAATATTAAGGCCCGGGGTGGAGTATCTATCGAACGTCGACTTTTGTTTAAATTTTATCTTTTTAATCTAAAATACATAAAAATTTGGAATCAATTTTATGTTGCGCGCAGCACTTGAATGGACATGAAAAAATAATGAAAAAAAAGACAAAAAAATATTAAAGGGCGCTAAAGATCGATATTATTGAAAAGAGATCATTATTTTTTTATAAACATTCGAGTAGCTCCCACAACACAAATTTGATCCCAAATTTTAATGTATTTTAGGCTAAGATAAAATTTAAACAAAAGATAACATTCGATAGATAGTCCATCCGCACTTCAATTTGGATATTTATTAGTATAAATATTTTCACAGCTTAATACTGAAACCACGCAACAACAAAATTGGAAATCTTCAAAACGTGACATGTTAAAACTGATACCTTATCAATTGTAACAATTGACCTTGTGGAGCGAATAGATAATATGAATACAATATTGATTTGAAGATTTCATCGAGATCTATATTATATATTTTTCCCTTTCCTTGGCTTTTTCAGCCTTTTACACATTCGTAAAAATCAAAATGACATGCATTAAGTCATCAAATTTTAATTAAACCATAATAAAATACCTCACTTTGAGGAGCAGACAAAATTCTTCATAATCCTTATCATTTACTCTAACTGATCTAGTGAATGGAATAGATAATATGAGATATCCAATTTGGATCTCTCGATGAGGCTTTCAGAGTGATATGTAAAATATCCTCATTGTTCAAGTCTAAAAACTGCAATAAATTAATTAACAGTCAGTTAAATCTCGATTCTCATGCATTATCTCAAGCAACAGAGAATTAATCAAAAAAAAAGATTAGATAGAGAGATTAATTTGAGTATTATATAATACTTGTAAGAAATAAATATTAATTCTTCGCTATATTTACTTTTATTTCCTATAATTATAGAAAAATGTAAATAAACTAAATAGAAATTTCATTCATCATAAAGAATATATCATTTTCAGCGAATAATTCTTCTCGTGCATTGAGAATGAAATTATTGCTCATCCAATTAAATTCATTACTGCCAAATAAATTTGTTTGAGATACGAATTAAAAACGGGAATATATGCACAGAATTTTGAAAAGAAGAAAAAATTAGTTTTGGGCTATTGTATTAATAAAATCCAAAATTGAATCTTAATGAATTAATGATTCACTGGAAAGCATATCAGTGTTAAAAAGACTTGATTAGTATTGCATTACTTTGAGCTAAAAATGAATAATAATAAAATTGGTATCTATGATTTTTCAGTCGAGGATCATTGCCATCGGGATCGCAACGAATCTATTGACAAAAAAGCTCGAAAGAAGTTGATTATTGCTTGCATATTGTGTGTGATATTTATGGTAGCAGAAATAATCGGTGGTGTGTTATCAAATAGTTTGGCAATAGCAACGGATGCAGCCCACCTACTTACAGATTTTGCGTCATTTATGATATCTCTTTTTTCAATATGGGTTGCTGGTAGACCCGCCACTAGGAAAATGCCATTTGGATGGTACAGAGCCGAGGTAAGGGCATATTATCACCTGTCACCAGCTGCGATTACACGTCTTTTAATCCTTAAAAATTGATTCTAAACAAATTAATACTGAAAACAAGTCATTCTCAACAAATTAATTTAAAAATCCTGACCAATTTGATCCTGGATAACTGAAAAAATAAAAAATCGTTACCAATTCAATAAGAATATTTACTGTCATTTGACCGACGGTAGTGGCCGTGCGGTTAGAGTGCTGGACTAGCATGCCAAGGATCCGGGTTCGATCCCGGGCACCGGCGGTCAAAAAATATATAGCGCTCTGAT